CTTTCAGTGAAACCAGAGTTGTTCATAGGCACAAGATACAGCTCAGAGCAAAATGGCAAGATGATCACAGCACTTCCTCCCCTTAGGGAAGACACCTTTGCAGCGTGGCCTGGTGCCCAAACCACTGGCTTACAGGATACTCTCGTGGAGCTCCTACACTCTTCATAAATAACTGCATATTCACTGGAATAGGAACATCTTCCGTAAGGCAGAGGAATGCTTTATACCATTAACCACTAACATCAGTGTCTCTAATCTGTGATCTACTCTAATCACCTGCCACGGGACTTCACTAAATCAAGTCATTCACTCCAGCACTTCCAATTACAGTTAAAACAATTTTCATGAGGGAGAATTCACCAAGCTGTTGTAATAGTTCACTAAGTTTACTGTCCTTTTATCATGACTACGTTTGACTACATTTCTATTTGGATCTTTAACTTCAGGCAATGCTATCTATAACACAAGAGGCTCTCACTCACCCACTTAATGTGATTGAAATTATACCAGAGAAAAATCTGAGCCAGTAGCCAGATACCTTGATACATGGTATTTGTAATGTAAAAAATAGTAAGTTCTTAATCTTAAAAAAAGTGACAGCCCAACCCTGTTATTTTAGTAAACTTTAAAAATTGCCCATTTGTGAGTGCATTGTTTTCTTGGTGACTGATCCACACAATCACGTACTGCTCTGATTCATTCTGCTACACCACTTTCCATCATAGTAAGTTTGGTCTATCAAGTTGATCCTATCAGATCCTATCGGTCAGGCTTTTGGGGAAGGGGACTGGGGGGATAGAGGTACCTGTCTTTAGCACCACCACCACCACCACCACCTGCTTCTTTGCATTGTTCTAGTGATAGGCTTCAGCTTGACCTCTGAGGAGATGGTGTTCAATCTCTAGATCAAATTAAAACCAGTGGCATTTGAAGTTATATGCTGATAGGAAGGTATGAAAGTGGAAGGTAAAATAATTTACTCCAGGAGTCTGGAGGACTGGGTCATACCAAGATAATCAGCAAAGAGATGGGCATAAGATATTGAAGATACAGAAATGTACGTGAAGGCACATAGCATAGAAATGTGAATTTTTGCTGTTTAAAATGTGGTTTCTCAAAAATCACAACAGACTGCAGACTGGAACAACACAGGACACCAAAAGAGAAGAGCAGCATGTGAAGAACATACAAAAGAGAAGACAAAGGAGAGGGACTAGGAAGGAGCTACCATTGATGCACATGCTAGTAAGGCAAAACAGCATGATCAAAAAAGTAGGTAGTCTGTCACTGAAGGCACACACGTCCTCTGGCTCAATTAGTCCTTGCTAATGGTTATGTGGTGGTCCTACTACCAGGCTGCTCACCTCTGTCTCTCCTTCTGATTATGGCACTCACCACCATTACTTAACATAAGGCAAAGAGGGAGATAAGCATAGATGGGGATACAGCAATGCTGTTACAGCTATTCCAATCTCTTTTCTAGTCAGCTGCCCATCTGAGCATTACCTAGGCATAAATGCAAGAGGAGAAAAACAGTCATTAGCACCTCGCCTCAATAAGGATAAGAGATGAAGGAGACAAGCTTAGGATGAAAGAGCTAACAAAATCCAGCTCTCTATCCAGACCTTTATTAACTACCTCAGCAGAAACAAGCCATCTTCTAGGCTTTAGCTGAAACTAGCTTTTTTTGCTACACTTTAACAATTCCAAGCTAGCTCCTGTCCCTTGACACAATATCTAAAAATTCGCACTCCAAACAGCAATTGCTATAATAATAACAATACTTACATTTCATTATTTAACCTCATGCTATTTGTTCATGAGGATTAGTGCTTAATTAATTAACAACACTTAGCATTTCCACTTAGCACTTTGCCTCTTCAAAGCATCATACAGACAATACCTAATTAAGGGCAATGCTGCGCAGACACTTCACATCAGGACTTCCCTTTGACAGCTCTGCATCCAAGACTTGCTCACATGGTGTAGCATGAATTCAAGTTGAAAGCCCTATTGACTTCATCAGGAACCAGGTAATGCCCTGGCTATCAAGTGACTATCTACCTTTGCAAATTCCTTTTCTTTTCCTGTTACTTCTGCTTGCTTACTATTCACCCAGGGATCTAATTATTGGCTAATGTGATAGGTGATAATGTGAACCTTGTATTAGTGTTATCTACAAAACCTTCATTCTTCCGTTAGTGAAAACCTTACTCTCAGTCACCTGGTTGAACTGCCTTTGGAAAGAAAATGTGTTAACCACAAAAACGGATTATAAAATGTCAAGCCAGAGTTTTTAAGGGAGATGGTGCTTTCAATCCATCAGTCAAATGCCTGCTATGAAAGTGCCTTTCTCATAAGCACCCCAGGGTGCTACATAACATCAATAGACAATATAAACACAGAGCTTTCATGGTTCACTTTACAATTGGACATTGACTCTGAATCTGTGAAACAGAAAGGAATTGAATTTCATGACCAAAGAGTATAATGTGCACAGGATTAAGTAGACAACACTGGTAGAAGCAGGAAAGCAATATGGCATTGGATGCTGAGAGATTAAATTTACAAATAAGAAACCAAAGGAATAAAACAATTCTGAGTAAACTTTCATAAACCAGCGGTATCACTCAATGCTTCCTATCAATCCACTATTTTTTTCAGAGAATCAAACGTGCTGATGGGTTTATTCAAAGCCCACTGATTGAGCAGGCCCTGACTGTGGGAACTGAACAAAGAGAGCCCTAAATATCTAATAGCTCCAGCCAAGAGAATTATCCAGGCAGTATGGAAGGAAACTTCTGGCAGTCAAACTGGAAGAAGAAGAAAACATTCATCACAGTTCAAGAACTTGTCTAGTGTCTCAGAGGATGTCTTCACAGGGCAGTGGCTGGCAGCCTGGGGCTGCTGCTGCTCAAACCTGCTCCAGAAGAAAGCAAGCGATCCAATACAGCGACACAGCTTCCAGCTCTGGGTGGTGCTGTGGTGTGTCACATGCACGTCACAGCTCACATCAGCTAGGTCAGACAGCTTTGTCAGGAAGCCCCTCTTGCCAGATGAGCCACAGCTTGATAGATATTAAATGGTTTGATTCTTTGAAAACTGATTGTGCATTGAACAGAACCTGACCTAACCATTTTGGCACTGAATTCTTCCACAAAGATAACCGTGTACTGCTAAATGCAGTGTCTTTGTGGCCAAAATATACTGTGTTAGTGTTACTGCTCACTTCTAAAATCTTAGGAGTTTAAAATAAAAAAAACAGGCCTTACTATCCCTTAATATAATTTCATTTAAGCTGCAGATGGATGAGACCCTTATTGCCATATTCAACCTCAAGCTGAGGGTCAGATACTCATCCCAGACTTTTCTGGACATGTATGTTTGGAATTCAGTACCTGACTTTCATCTTTCCCCCCAGTCCTCACAAATTCTTTTCCCCTTACTCAGCTTCAACTTCAACCCTTCAATATTCCCTTGCCACCAGTTACGACTGTCCAGGACTCCCTTACCTCAGACACCAAACAGCCTAGCCAGCCCCCAAACAGCTAACACCTAAGCTCTCCATCACTTGGTTATCCTGCAGCCCTTTCTAATGTTTACCACCTAGGACCCATTCCAGACCCATTCTAGGCTGCCCACAACCGCTCCCCTGGACCACTTCTGCATTGGTTAAGGCTGGATCCATGGATGTATATGGTTACATGTGAATTAGGTAAATCATGCACCTTTATTATAATGAGTTTCCTAAAATATAACACTCAAGACAAAACTGTCAGCTGTGGTCACTGTTGATCGGGAAAAGATCCCTGTTAATTAGCATGCACATTGGAGCAGGCCATTAACAAATTCATTGTGAAGCTACTGTGGAAGCTGATTCAAGTGATTATCTAGGTAACCATGCTTCTGTTTCCAGCACAAGGCTGTCACATAAGCCCTTCTGATCACTTTTGTATTTACATTTGCTGTGCCTCTGTCCTAGCATCTCCAAGCCCTGATGTCTTGGAGGAACACACGCTGAGATACTTCCTGACTGGAGTCAGCTTCCAGTACTGGAACTCTGCCGGGTGCAGCTCAAGATGTGAATCAAATGCAGACATAAAAACACGGTTAAGACAAAAGCCTGGCATTTGGAAGGCAGTTCTCTACTCTGGTGTATGGCAAAAATAACTGTTTAGATGACTTATACAATTAGGATTTTACCTCTCATTCTCCTGTTTAACTCAGCCTGTGCAATGAAACAGGTTGGTCTGTTTAGTCTGTCCCACAGTTTTCACTCATTCTGTCATTACTCTATATCCATACAGTTCTATGAGGTGTTGGGGTTTCAAAGCTTCACAGGACTGTCTATTAATTTCTGCTGTTCATAGTGCTCTCCCTGTAAGAGGTCATGGGGACAAGTCCATAGAGTAGTCAGCAACAGATCCATGGTGGTCATGAATGTTAAGCTCCAGCATGTATTTCCTCCCTGCTTCCAGCCATCAGTGTCTAATGTCATTGGGACAATTTATACTTTTTGGCTATCACAACCTCATACAGCAATGAATTTCACAAGTGATATTGATTGCATTAAGTCGTACGTGTGCTTCCCCTGTTGCTTCATCAGAAGAAAGTGTTCCTGCTGCTGCACCACCATGGTGCATACTCCTAGCCTTGCAAGTTAGCCTGCACAGGGAGTGCTGGATGGATTGTTTGATGACTTGCAGTACAAGATATCCTAATCTCCTTGCCTAGTGAAATTGCTCAGCACTAGGGTTAATACTGAAGTGCAGGCCAGCTGAAGCTACCTTTAAAGGGCATGGTACGCTCCAGGGCAAATATGGTTGACACAGTTACACTAGGTATATATTTTACTTACAATTTTATCACTATGCCTATTCTAAGCACAGCCTTTCAATTAACTGATTCTTAGGACTTGATATAGAAAATATTGAAATATTTCTGACAACAGCATTTTCACAAGTAGCATTACCCATCCCACCCCAGCTCGGATTTCTCACCTTTGTGGTCCACAACTTGACTGTCCAGTCAAATGATGATGTGACAAAGAGATGGGAAAAGTCAATTGGACCCACCGCCATGTGACAATTGATTCCTGTGACGGGTCCTTGGTGGCCTTCAAAAATTTCACCAATGCCAGCTTTACTGCAGGAAGAACAGACATTTGCATTCAGAGAATGATTTAACATCTGGTGATTTAACATCATTTTTCTGTACTCTTAGGTTCCTGTTTCCTTTTAAAGTTCCATTTAATCTGTAAATCTCTCTCCTTTCAGTAAGGCCTTTGCCTGCAGAGGTTTACTCCTGTGGGCACAATTAATGCTTAGGATCCAGCACAGGGAGACTTTCTCTTACTTCTGAAGACTTGCCTTACTTACTTTTACATACACTGTCTACTACTGTAGCTTGAAATAACATTTATGTATAATTATAAAATAATTCTAAATTATAATTATACTATAGCTTATGCCTCTGAATAAGCCATTATCACAAGGAATAACATTAAAATAAAAATGCAAATGCGTTAATGACTTATCATGAGCAATTCTTTTTCTCTTAAATATCTAAAATAACTTTCCACAGCATCAGTCAGGTCACTAGGAAGCAAATCCTTTTTCACAAAAAGTGAAGGAACTGTTCCTGTCATCAGGTATCATACAGTCATTACTTTGAACAAGGGGAGATGTGCATTTCATCGGCCTGAGGCTAGAATAGCTATTAGGAAGGAAAAATACAATGCTGTGTAAGAGAGAATGTGCACAGTTTTCTTTTTCCTGGAAGCAAATGACACCAGATCAGTTGTCAGTGCTGTGCAGGGAATCATGTGTGTCAGAGCAGGGGAATTATGAAATTACCCTTTTAGTTACATTATAGAAAAATTACCACTGGAAGAAAATACATTAAAAATAGCCACAGCTCTGACAAGGCTGCCAGCCCTGTGCCAGTGTGAATACAGCGTACCCAAAGAGATCAGGAGCTGCACTGGAGGAAATTGGTCCCTCATATTGCTAGCATGGTGTCCCCTCACCTCTCCTGTTGACCATGGCAGTGTGGCCTCACTTAGGCTCTCCTGCCAGACCTTGCAGCATGTGCTGGAGCAGGGACTGAGTTCTGCAGTGCCTCTGCAGTGCTGGGTACAAAGCACACATTTTATGCCTATCTGTCTACCATGTAGTTGGCTGCATAAGGGGAGTTCTGGAGCACTGAGAACACCTTGTGTATCTGCTGTGCTTTGACACAGCTGCTTCAAGAATAACATATGGCTCTCCACTGTGCTGGGCTGAAGGACACAGGAGCCTCTGGAAATAAAATGGGAATGATAGCAAAAAGCTCTAGAAAAGACAGGCAGGAGCAGAAAAGGAGTGCATTTGTCAATGGTCAGCAGAAGGTTTGCTAAAAGGGTGGGCTAACAAGAGGATATGGCACCTTCCTTCTCTTGTGAAGAACAAACCAGGCATGTCTGAAAGATCAGAAGTGAGAAATGCCCTTGGGCATGCTTCATTTATCCTAGCAGCCTAAGACTAATTCAAACCATCAGCTGCCACACAGCCTATCAGTACAATGTCTAAATATACACAATTTTGCAATACTGTCAGCAGTCAGGCTAAAATAAAGGTACTTTAAAATAAAAATTATATTGAACAAAATATATGTAAAACAGTATTTATACAACATTAGGAATGTCTGATAGAAGCCTTACAATCTTAAACCAATGTATCCATGTCTATTTGGTCAACAGAAACACAGAATATGATAAAATACGAATTCAGAGAATATTGCAAACTACTGAAGCGTGGGGGTGAGCTTTAAATCTATCAGTGAAAAAAGTTTGTTCTTTACAAAAGCCTTTCAAGCATCCCAGAGGATGAAACTACTAGAAGCTATCGGATCACGCTAGAATCCTGCAGATTTACAGGGTGCAAAATAAGGAACTTGCAGTATTAAACTACAGCCTGGGTTATGCAAGGAAAGGATATGACCACCATGTGCGAGAGAGCACAGAGTACCAGTCCTGGGAGCAGGTCAGCCAGAGCTTGTGTACCCGTGTGGCACACTGCGGCTATGTCTGTGTTAGCAAATAAACCAGGTGGCAGCCTGGGGGCAAACGGTGTGGCACGGCTCCTGGCTGTACAACAAAACCCTCTTGCCCTCCTGGAGAGGGTGGGCATGTCCAAACTGCCCTCTGAGAGCAGGGGCCAGCAGGGCTCAGTCTCTAGCCTGGCTGCACAGACACAGCCTGCAGTGCTGTGCGGGAATACCCAGCGCTGGATGGCTGTGCACTGGGACATGCGTGCTCTGTTTCTCACATGCATGTGTGCCCATGGTGGCTTTTCTCCGATATATACCTGTGGAGACTGAAGATGGACCTGAGGATGGTAAAAAATAAAGCGGATTACCATCCCTTATGAGTGGTTTAGGCCTGATTACCCTGCAACAAAACTGTCTCCTAGGGCCTGAATCAACCTGCCCAGACATAGATACCTACATCTCAGCTAGCTGTCTAGACCTCCGTCTCACCTCATGGGTGAGGAAGAGGCATTTCTGAGGTCCCAGTCATCTCTTCTTCAGGCAGATGTCTGAAAAAGGTAAAGGAAATAAAACCCTAAGAGCAGTCGTTGCTTCCCACCAACTACGCAGGGATCCTGGGGCAACTACCCCAGTATAACAGGCTGTAGCATAGATGCTCAAAGTCAGGTGACTCCTGTCCTAGTCGAGTGAAGAACAGTACAGACACCATTGATCCAAAAGAAAAAACATGAAAGACTCTCCACACACTTGGCTACCTCACACCAATGCAGGTACACAATGTTATTTAAGTACAAAATGCTGAACATCACCTTCCATGACGACAGGCTGTGTAGACTGTTCCCTCTTCACTGCCAACGACAAAGTTATTGACATCTCCAGTTGGGAAAGCCATTCCTGTAACCGCCACTGGTTTGGACTTATTGTACACCAGCTCCATGCTCTCCTACCAAAACAGGTCTTCATTATTATTCTGTGATCATCCTTTTGTTTGGCTGTTGGGTTTTTTTTTTCCTAATTATTTTCTAAAGTTACACAGGGTAGCAGGAGGGGAAGAAGAAATCATTTGACCCAGCTGCAGGACTGCGGTTTCTACATAGGACATTGTGAGAAGATGCAATGTCACAAACTAGGATGCACTGCTCCTGCCATCCCCGCTGCTGTCTGTCACACGTTTGAGAGCAGCTGGAAGGCGCTAGTCTTTGCTACAATATCTTAAATCAGGCAGAGATGACAGGTGAGAATTTAAAATCTAATGGTGCAGAAACTAAAGGTAACACCTTAATGGTTACACTTGCCAGCCCCAGGCTCTAATAAAACATGCAATACCCTTCTATTTACAAACATTTTTGAAATCAATTGTTTGTCAGGAAACATGTGTAATATTGTGTGCACCTGAGGCATTTATCAGACTGTGCCAATTGTCCCTTTGCAGAACAAAATTTAAAAGTTGGGTTCCTGTCACTACCACCGTTCTAAGCATTGCTTTTCAGGGATTTTCTGAGGTAACCATAAACACTCCCTCTAGACTCCACCATCAAGCTACAAACCAGCAAGCATATTTCTTTCTTCATTTGGTAGCTATATTTAAAAGTAAATCAGCATGCCCATTTTTGCTATTGCAAGTACAACCAGCATGAACAGTTTCTGGCTGTTGCAAGATGCGCACACTTTGAGCAGATTTTGCAAAACTTTCTGGTTGTTCAGCCTAAATGGTGTAACCCAAGAATCCACAAAGGGGCTGAATGATTTAGCAATTTCATTTTTAGCTATTTAAGTGGGTATGTTTTCTGTGTTTAAAATGTCTAAGCTGCTATTCTTCTAGGGCCAAAGCCTGTAGCGTTTTTCTCAGGAGGGGTTTTTGCCATAGCTAAAGAAAATGGGCATCCCTGTGAGAGGAGAGGGCTGCAAATCCATAGAGAAACACATTTGCTTGGTTTATACTTTTCTTTGAAATACATTTGATTCTATTAAAAAGGCAAAACAAGACCTGGAAAATGCATTGGCAGAGCACCTGTGGACCATATATTTCTGTGAAAATCTTCTGGGGTGAGATCATCATTTAGTGTCCGTGTGGAGAAACAGCCAGATGCTGCGGTGGACTCTCTCCTCCCAGCACCTACACCGTGGCTGTACAAGAGTGTTCTGGATCTGTGTCTTCAGAAAGTTTCAGACTGACACACATCAGCAACACTCTACTCCTCCCAATTTAAAGCTATGGCATGTAGCTTGACATCAAGTCCTGTGCCTTTCTTTTCTAGATCACCAAAAGCCATGTGCCAAACTTCAGCGTAATGTGGGGTGTGTTCCTATCCTTGTTGAAAGCCAGTTTTGGAGCAGGGAAATTCCATCTGAGTGATGAAGTACTGGAACTGAGATGTTCACAAATGTCTGCTTCAAAATTTAGTATCCCAGTAAGTGAATACATAAGGGTGGGATTTATCTTCTTGATGTGAAGTGAGAAACTGGGGAAGGGATTCAGGTGCCTAAACATAGACATCTGGGCCATTTTAGATGCCTCCACTTCTATTCCATAAGAGTATTGGTTTCTTATAGTCCCAGGACACAACTATCAGACCCATACTGTTGCCTTAGATGAGCGAACAACATGATCTAACTTTGAAGTTGGCCTCACTTTGAGTAGGGGAGTAGATGGGATGACTTCCAGAAGCCCCTTCCATCCCAGGATTTGACAGTTCTGTACCCCACGGTGGGTATCTGAAATAATATTTCACACTGGGATAGCAGGAGGCGTCCTCCAGAAGTGCCCAGTCTTTCTCTACATAAACTGTAAAGGGAACTCAAATTACTAGCTTAGACTTGACACAGACCTAACTTTTAGGTGGCTAAGGTTAGGATAGAGGAGTCCCACCTCTTGTGTCAACACTGAAAAGCAAATAATTCTATAGTAATTGCACATTAATGCATGATTAATGGATGGTTAATTGAATCAAGAGGAGTTTCTACGCAGCATTTTGAGACAAGATGAGATCCCATGATGCTTAGCAAAAATTATATTAATTTTTTTTTCTACGAAATTATGTATAAAAACTGAGTGATGCATTGGAATAGAAAATGTACTGCTCCAGAAGATAACACTTAAAAGATGCTTTCCATAGACCTTTTTCAGCATCAGATTCTTTGTTTAGTTTCCATTATTATAATCACTAGTGGTTTGGACAATTTTCCTGGGTTTTCTTTCATTCCTGGTACAAAGAAGGGGGGTGGGGTGGAGGGGAGACAATAGTAGCAAACATTCCAGAGGGGGGAAATTAGTTCTCAAACTTTGATTTGCATTGTTTGTTCCTTTGGCTACTGAAGGCAGGCAGCAAAGTAAGCTTTCTGACTGTGTGCCTTGGAAACCCGTGGTGCCTAGGGTGTGTTCAGCAGCAGTGCAATCTAGTCCATATTTGTTAAACAATGCTGTAGAGTAAGTACAATTTATACCACAGGCGACTTCTGTAATTACCGTGCTTTAAAATGGATTATTTCATTTTCACTTGAAACTGACCTATGTATTAACGTATTACAATAATTACATGATTTGTGGTAAAGGAAATGGGGTTTGGCTCTTAGCAGAGACTGCTGGAAGCAAGCTGTACTCTTTCAAGTGCATCCATTGGTTTTAGTTTGTATAGGACGTGAGGTTTTGGCTTTTAGGAGCTATGTTCCATTAAGCAGGTATCCTGCTCTACCGAAGGTGCTTTTTTTCCCTGTATAGGTGAAAACAAACCCACCTGTGGAGTTGAGAGCATGTCCAGGCTCCAGGAGCACATTTTGCCATCCGTAGAGACGGTGATAAGATTGTGCGCATTCTGTGTTCCAACTACATTCACACAATACACAGGATGCTGAAAACACATTAACACTGGAAATCAGAGAGCCATTCTCACTTCTTCACAAACAAATTTCTCATGTCTCATAAGTTGTTTTAAAGAACAATTAAGTAGTCACATAATACCTGGAGAATACAGGACTCAGCTTTTGCCAGATAGGATTTTTTTTTTTTTTTTACATTTAAATTTTAAGAGGCACGTTATGGAGGTGGAAATGTTTTCAAAGTTTCATTTTCCTCATAATAAACCAACACAGCTGAGTAATGCTGTGAAAATACTGAATTATGTGGATGAGATTTCACCCACAGGGATATGTATCATTCTACTGATGGCTTTTGACACTGAAAATAACCAGCAGAAAGAGGTAAATTGTCCAAATGAAATCAAAATGAAAACTTTATTCAAGAAAACAGCTGCCTAAAACTTGAACTTTTCCAGAATTTGGCTTGCATGCTAAATATTTGCAAATGTACTCCAGTTGAAAAACATGAACAAGTCCATCAGCGTTCTCCAGCACTGGCCAATATACCTTTCAAAATCTGTCATTATAAATGTAGAGTGACTAAATTTAGGGTGTTACACCTGGTTCACCATAACATAGTCTTTCCATGGAGGCTGAATTCCACTTAATATGCAATAATGAAACTTGGCCTATTCCTTTTCCAAGGAACCTGGTAACATTTTGAGCCTAAAGAGTCATCTGAGATCTGATGGTGACATATGAGGCATGGTTCAAGTTCAGCAGTCTCCAAAGTGAAAAATCAGTCAGACTGAACAATAAGATTTAATTTCCTTTGACCAATACAACTGAATCTGCTGAATTAAGGGTAAGACATATACACAAGTCAAGCAAAGAAAAACTGTATTTCTCTGCCTCTTTTGCTGATGAATAGAAGACCTGCATCTCCAGGAAGAAAAAATACTTTTCACTAAAACTTTCCTTATTTAATGAAAATTAGGACCAACTTACAAGAGATCCCTACAGAGCTTCTAAGCCAACTCCATGTAGGATTAGAAACCTAGCATTTGCTCCTGCTGAAAGGAATGCCAGAACTACCACTTATTTTAGACTACTTTAAGATCCAGCTGCAAGTCACCTACGCAGTCAGGAGGGAAAGGCAGAAATCTCAGAGCACTGGCTAGCTCTCAGGTTCGATACCTGAGCGGGCCCAGTAAATGCCCCCTCCCTAAGTGCAAAAAGGGCAGCATCTGAATACACAGTGTGTGTGTGTGCGCACACTGAAGATGGACTCAGCAACTGCTGCTGAAATGGTACCTTGTGCTTGGAGGCCACCTGTATGCACCAGTAATTTGCAAGGTCCATTCTGATGCTGATTCTTCTCTTTCTCTCAAGATTGTCAGGCACCTGGCTTCCTTTAGATCATCAAATGGACCCCAATCTGTCCCTCACATGTGTCTCATGCTATTATCCTCATATGATGGACCTTCTTGCTGCTTAGTGAGAGCTAATGACCCCAGTGCTAAGCATGATTAGCACATACTGATGTGTGAAATAAGAATAGACCTATTTTTTCATGGGTGTTTGACCTCCAGTAGTCCAAACAGACAGGGACAGAGTGGGTGGGAGGAAGCTAAAGCAAGCAGTGGAGTATCTAGAATATTTAGGTGGGGGGGAAAGAGCGAGCCATGTCTTTCCAGCAGCACCTCAGTGTGCCAGGTCTGGCTTTAATCAGGGCTATCAGTCATCAATTTCATGCACAATAAAACTCATGGCAGAAATGAAAAGATGTAAGGAAAATGGATGAAAAAGACAACCAACTGTACGTAACAGAAAGTCTAAACAGGCTCCTTCCTTTCAAAGGGTCACTGCCAGCTTGCTTTTATTTATTTTGGAAATGAAATCATCATGCAAAAAGGTTTTGTCTTAATTAAAATTTCCTGTTGTCCCAAGTGCAGATGTGTGGTGGGTGTGAAAGGAAATTAGTGAGTAAGCTGTGGGTAGAACTCTCTTTCCTGGTGAATCCAGGCAGCAATCAGTGATACTAAACTTCAGGAAGGTTTAAGTCAGTGATAACAACACACTCTATCTGTTTCAAATAAACAAAGTGGGAGAAAGAAAAGAGAAAAATCCCTTTTTCACATATGGCATAAGTTCAAATTAAAAGATGACTATTCAACTCACGTATCTAGCAGTACGTAAAGTAACATTGCTACAGTAGAGTTGTCTTAATTTAATCCTTTTTTTTTTTTTCTTAGCAGCTAGGATTCAAGCCAGCCTTTTGCAACCAAGACTTCGTTTACAGTTTATGTGATTCCTATATATGAACATAAAGTAAGCACTCTTTTATTGTAAAATCTGATCACTCCTTAAAAACATCATGCTTCCTGTTAGACTGTGTAAACACTTATTTATACCAATCCATGACAGCACATAAAGTGCCCATCCACAACTGAAAGTAATTTATTTATATTTGCCAAAAGCAAAACATCACATATTGTTCTATTGCAATAATAAAACTAGTTTAATATATAATTCCAGGAGGAACAATTTAATCTTAAATGTTTTTTGAGTGTAAACAAATTACTTCCCATTAATCTTTTCTTTTCCACTAGATTTGGAGTCCCAGTTGTTCAATTTTCAGTGATAGTCAGCTTCTTGCCACTAGTTTTCTGGTCTGCTACATCTCTAAATTGCACTTCCAGGAGAGACTGTTTCTTTTCATGCAGATTGAACATTACTGGCGACAAAATGAGCAAAAACATTAGGGAAATGAAAAGCAATGTTGAAGTTGCAACCCATGGCACAGATCATTAGATTATTACATCAACATTCATGATAGTGGAAATTTAGGGAACAATATTTGTGCTGCCTGGCCCACTAAGCGAGCCCGTGCACACCTGTCATTTTTTAATATAAGAGACTTGCCATCATAATACTGGCCCCACACTGAATCTTTTTCATTAATTCACCTGGCATGGCTTCTAGAGTTGTCTTTTAACTCTGGGGATTATGTTGTCACAGTCAACTAAAAGCTGAACCTTGATCTGCAAATTCCAAAGATAAGAATCGCAGAATTGTAAAAGCTGGAGGTGCAAAAGACCTATCACTTTGTCTGATCCTTCCCTCTGCTAGAACAAGATTATTATCTTATCTCTCAGAGTGCTTTATATAGTTCAGTTTCTTATGTTTCAGGAAATCTGCGTTTTTCTGCATTATTGTATCATACTATTACATTTTTCTCCTCCTTTACAGCCTGTATTTTCTTTTCTGCTTCCCACTCAGGAATGGTCCCAAGCCCACTACCAAGATGAGATATATTTACCATCCACAGAGTACACCTTCCAGCTCTTATGAAAAGGCTGCCTGAGCCCAAACTCTGGAAGAGAAGAACTCAAGAATGCACAACATCTTAGTGCAGCACGGACTGGAGGTCAGCACCATAGCAGAGTGAGGACACTTTAGCAGGCAGTCCAGGCTTGTCTCTTCCTCCAGCACAATATGAGTACTTTGTAATGTAAGAGAGTCTTCTAGCACAGACATCATCTTTGTATCACAGAGAAACTCTCTTCCTTCTCAGGCATTTTCTGCTACTGCTCTGCCTATATATCTCCCAGACATCACCAGAGCCCTGTGCCACCATCACTATATCTGCAGGTATCTGTTGTGTCAGCAAAACGCTCTTCCACATGATTTTATCGAAACAAACTCCCCCTCACTGTGCAAGCTCTGCCCTATGGCCCTGTCTGGAGTAGGAGACCATGACAGGCGTTTATGTATTGCTGTATTGGAAAACAGAAGCAAACTGCCCCACTCTCTTCAAGGGCACCAGTCTCTACTTGCAGGACTCCACTGAGACAACCATAGGTGCCTAATCTGGTTCAAAAGAGAAATTCATGTACAACAAGACAACAGTAAATGATTCAAATTGCCTGCCATGCTAGTCTGACAGACACACAGTCCCTATAGTGACCTGGCTGTCTTTACAGGCAATGGAGAGCAAGAGTCACAGTCCCACTGTGCTGCCACAAAGGCGCCTCACTCAAGTGTTGTAATTGATCCTGCCCTCTTCCTTGGAAAGGAGGATAATCTTCTGACCCGACCTACAAAGTGTGATGGTTAAGCACTTACAGGAGGTGGTTGTACATCTCTCTTACCTATTTCTTTCCCTTCAAGGGCCACACTGTCTTCATCTGTGTGGCAAACAGCATTGTAGACACAATTAGACAGCTCCACTTCCCCGCTGACCTTTTCCTCTAAGGAAAGGAGGTGATTTTTATCCTTACCGTGTGAGCAGCAGCAGATAAGGGAGTTCTTTGAACCGGAGTGCGCCTGTGACTGCGATTATCCCACAAGACAATTTGGCCAGAGTATGTTCCACCAACAACCAGGTTTGGGTGAAAGCGGGCAAAACAGACAGACATCACGGAGGACTGGAGTAAAACAGGTAGAGAAAAAGAGAGGGGTAACATGGTCAGTCATCTTCAATTCTCTCCTTAAGGAAGGATATTGTCATTAGCATTTTGTATTTTAGAAATCACTGTATGAGCTCAATTCATATTCCTTGCAGACCAGCAATTCTGCTAAAGCCAATAGGACAGATGCAAAGGGCTAATTTTTACCCTAAAATGTGTGGTTCCATTGGTCCTAGGGAAAATACGCACCACAGGATAAGTCTTCGCATGATGCTAAAAACCTGAGATAACCTCTCCCTGACAGCGATGGGAAAAGTGCTTAATTTCATTTCCAAAAGTGAGAACTTCAAGTAACCAGATGCCAACCCAACAGAGGCTGGCATCCTGGCCCATGATTTCCCATCAGGGAGAGCTCTTCCCTTGTTGCTCCTCTAGCTTTTAACACTCAGACACTTTGAGGTGAGTTTGTGAGAGACCCTCCAAAGTTCACCTCAAGGTGCGCTGCCTTGAGAGCATTAGCTGACAAGCTGTGTCTCATCGTTGGATCAATGACTGATTTCTCTGCTACAGAGAGGTCCTCTTCTAATAGCAGAGGGAATCACACTTTCTCTTACACTGTTTGAGCAGAAATTAGTTTTTCCTCATTTTAATGACAGCTGAGTTGCCTTTGTACATTTTCTTTACCTGGGGATGCTGAGGAGCCAGACTGGTGTAATGGTTACCCTGGCTATCTGGTAGAGTGCCCCATAAGCCAGTATGGAGATGGGTATCTATCCCAACTACCACCTTCCAGTCTCTTTAAAATAACATACAACATCTGAAGTCCTCTAGGGAACAATCCCCAGAATCTTCACATGCCAAGCTACAGCCAAAAGCAACAAGCTGTAACTCCTTCAAGTCCTCCATCCTCTCTCTAAGGAATTATTTCCTATTTTTATATAATTGATCCTGGAAATGTCTTTGTTTTATGCAAATTGGAAAGCAAAAGTTACAGCATTCATATAATTTCCTGATAAAGGAACATACGAATAAAGACAGTTTGCAAAGAGAAGCAAATGTCATTTTTTCATGGGCAGTTTTAGTGATGCTTACAAGCAACAGAGCAAGACTTGAACTGCTGCAGTCATTATAGTCAGAAAATTAAATTCACTGTTAGTGGTCACATTCTTAAAAATTCATTTTCTGGCTGTTTCCAATGAGTTTTGGTAACAAATCTTTGTTACAGTTTAATGACTGGATATTTTGAAGTGGTGATGTTCCTATGTGTGAACCCATTTTACTCAATGACAAAGGGTTAACTAAATTGCCATATTTCAGTTGCATAAAAAGCATTGCAGACACTTAAGCAAACTTTGTTGAATTGGGCACATAGGAGCTGCCAAGCTGACCTAGACTCAATGTCTACCTAGCTGACGACCCTGTCTCTGGCAGGAGTGGATGGAATTGTAAAAACTTTGACATGGGCAGATGTGTTGTTTTCTTTCCTTACTGCTCCTTATCCTGATTTCTAGTGACTAGAGACTTGTTTGAACTCTTACACCAGAGATTTAAAACCTCTTCTGATAGGGCTAGAATTAATTATGCTAACTCTTGATGTCTATAACTAGGTTAATAAGAATAAAGCAAAATGTGAAGTTTGAATAGTTTTTACTGAATTAATGTGGCTGCCTGATATCTATTGTGTAAAGCCAGATTATATGCTAAATTAGCTTAGTTTCTACTTACAGCATACAGCAGTATATTCAATACTGGGTTTTTTTGACCTAATAAGATTGCCAAGACAATGAAATAATCTGCCACTACCTTTTTTCTTCACCATTCTCTCTTGATTCTCATGGCTGTTCACTTGACATCTCTGACCCCTTCCCTTCTTGACTAAAGCTTTTGCATACATTTCTCTGATGTTATATAGTCTAGTATCTAATGACTAGCTGATTAGTATACATAATTGCCTATTTTAGTCCACATCTATCTAACCGCTTGAGCATAGTAATTACACTATGGTCAGTCATAGCAACAAAAGGTAGCTTCCAAACACCATTTCCAAAGGACCTATTAGCTTTACAGATAAGAAAACCCACCTCTGAGTAACAGGACTTTGGTACTGCTAGGAGGGGCTTAAAACTCAGCTACAAGTCAGCTGCCATCCGGTTTCCACAGATCCCCCATACATTATAATTAAAACGACCCTACAGCACATGTTCTACATTTTATCTCTTTGTTTAATGGCTTCATGAGTTGTTTTAATCAACCCCTCTCATTCCTTATAACTAAACTGACAGATATTCTTACATGAAGTGAAATAGCCAGATGATTTTAAAATAGTACAGCTCCACCACTGTGCACACCCCACAGCAGCTACAAGGCTCCACATGTATTTTAAGAAACCCCAATTCAAACAGTCATTCCACAACAAAGTTCTCAGTTTGTCCGAAACAAACTTGGGAGACTCTGAAGCAGGGCGAAGAAGCCAAGTGGACAGTGTATTTTTAAATGTTGTGTTTTCATGGTTAGCATGTTTTTGAATTCAGAATCCCAGAATACAGTTGAATGGTCAGGATATAAACTGCTAAAGTGTGTTTTTCATAAAGTTCAAAAATAACCTACAGACATGACTCGGACTTAAGCCCTCTGTGCTACTTCTAGTTTTACGTATCGCTCCAAAGTAACTTGCATTCTTCAGCTGATGAAATGTTCACATCCTTTTAATTATGTCAATATTATTTTTCTACCGAGGAAAAACTTCTGTCAAATATTAGAATTTAACAATTTAAGGACTCCACTCCATAGCACTTAATAAAGTGATTATTTTCTTAAAGTTAATGGCAGTACTCAGATGAGTAAGGGCTGTAAGATCCAGCCCATTCATTTAACAACTTTAAAAGCATTCATTTCTTAGCCTTAATGGGAGAGAGTGGCAGACAGGTCTCCAGTCTGTCTGAACAGCTCTGTGTTCAAGGAGAGCAGCAGAAACCATTCCCTGTAAGCCTCTTCTGCCTCCAGGCTGCCTCTTGTTTGCCGATTCAAGCAGTCTTGCTCCTCTAAAACAGTTTCGCCACTGACTTCAAAGGGGGAGGAACTAGCGCATTGTCAGGTTTTAAATTAACAGCATATCCCTCTTTGCACTTCTGCCACACCTTTCTAGGGAAATCTCACGACACTTTCCAGTAACGACGGTAAAGCTTCCCAGTTTTTCAGTTAGGCATATTTTATATGCTGTAGGTGCTTAGTTACCCATTGCAGAGGACAGGAGCAGCTAGTTTCAGAGTATATAGCAACAGTCCACAAAGAAATGTAAGAGGGATCATGTCAGAAGGCAACTCCATGAGGAATTTAATGCCCACAGTATAAAAGCAGCATTTAGAATAGGAGGTTCCCAGCGTTATATTTTTATGGGTGCCACAGAGCATCTGTGCCTGCAAGTTGTTGGGACCTGCAAGAGACAGGCAAACCCCAGTGTCTGGTCACCCTCCATTTCTCTGAATTGCTCTGTGCAGTGAATCATTTCATTATTCATTTTAGCTTAATGCTCTGGTGTTTTCTCCCTCTATGCAAATACAGTCTACGGGATTTAGCTTTCTCTGTCTCTGCTTAGCTTTCTCAGCAACCCTACTAAAGTATTTCTGGTACTTCTGGCTTTGTGATCTTCCACCCAGATTTTCAACTCTTGTCTCTTGATGATGGCTTTCTGGTGGGCACCACCTCACTGGTGCGGCCACCTCATCCCCTGTGTATGGTCTGCCTGTCCGTGGAGGTGGGCAGCTCTCAAAGGGCCAGATGAGCGAGCCTGAATTAGCTCCATGTGGGACCACTGCCCAGGCAAAAGGGAGAGCCAGGCCCAGGCTGGTAAACCTGAGATTTTTGTCTGGCAAACGGGCAATCCCGCTCGCCGAATGCTAAAGCTTCTGCTCCCGGCTGTTACAAGAACCGTGCTGAAAACCTAATTAAGAAACAAAGCATGAAATGTCTGTGCTCTCGTCACAGCAAAGAGAGGGCTGGCCTCAGAAACATAAGTGTCGCCCAGCCCTAGGAGAGGCCTGCAGTCGAAGGGACGAAGGTGGGGCACCCCGGCCCCTGTTTTGGCAGCTGTGGGGTCACCTCAGCCCCTACGGAGAGAAGCGCTACAGGGGCGAGCGGGTGGTGACTTTGCTCAGCCACCTCGGCCTCCTCCCTCCCTCCCCGCTGATGCACTCGACTCAAGCAGGCCCCAAGCCCTCTTCAAGTGGCTGGCAGACCTGTTTTTTATTTTAGAAGCTTAATCCGGCCCAGATTTGGATTAATGATGGCATATCCCTTCAACCACAGATACACATGCTCGGGACAGACAGTCATTTAGATTCTCCTTGCTGAGAAGCCTGACCTCAGTACCCACATCTGATGTGTGTAAGGCCCCCGAGACTCAGCTGTCTGTGCTCATGTCCGTAGATTTGGATGGCACTCTGCCCAGCCACCAGTTGAACAAGTTCACAAAGACCTGGGTGCTAAACAATAATGACTTTCAATAGGCAATGACTACTGCATTCAGCGAGACCCCCTTCTGCAGGAAACCACCCCCGTAGGCAGCGCTGCCATACTGGTGCCATATGCCTACACTTGACACCAGATGGATCTCAAAACAATACTTTGTCAGTGGGAAGAAGCGATCTGAGGAGTTCACAGGCATTTCTAGACTCCAGAATACCAGGTTATATTGCAGCAGGCACTCAGGAAACTCCCGGGTAGATTTTCTAGCTGAGCAAACACATGTGAAAAAGCACTACAATCTGTGACGTGCTACTGTAGGTCAGTCTAACACAGACAACAGTGGGCAGTAAAATTAACTCCAGGTGAGCTGAAGAGGCAGATCCTTTTTCCATGCTTGAGGGAATTGGCTTAGAGGGGCTGAGAGCAGAGGGACAAAGCTGGGGTACTGCTGCTTAGCTAGAACCACGAAAAGGTGCCAAACTCATAGTCCTTTATCCACAGGAACTGAAGAATAGGGACTGGACCTCTGATCACTTATGCCTGCCCTCCTGAGG